AGCAGCTCACATCTCCACTGTCACACCAGTCCTCATTCCCCGTAAAGCACATGCCTCCTCTCCTTCTCTGCCAGAGTCATCTGCTCTGTCAGATCGGTGTATAGAATTCGTTGGCGCTGTTCAGGATTTAGCCAAGTTTTGATGAAACCAGGAAATAATCAGCTGAAAATTCTTCCAAATCTTTAATTTTACACAAACTTCCTCAGTTATCGCGTTCTCTACCTGGGTTAATGGTACAGTTTAGCAGTTGTTCTGCACTGTTATTGTTATGCACTGAATATAATATGAACAAAGGGCTGGGCAATATGGCCAAAAATGTTATCATGCTAAAAGTTTTCACATTAGTTTATATAAATTATTATCACCCAAAAGAGTCAAATCATTATTTCTTTCAAATTAAAAGGCTGATTTTTCCTCCTTAGTGAAAGTTGAAGAAACCAGACAGTTAATTGTGGTTTAAATTATTTATTGTCACAACATGGCAACATTTACCAAACAGCAGAACATTTAACAAATCTGAGATAATGTTAAAACAATTTTGCTGCTCCTTCTTCTTATTCTGTTTAATGATGAGTGGTTACTCGTGTTTAAAGTGCATTACCACCAATGGCAGTTCTAGCACATTTGATGCCCTAGGTGAGCCTCCAAACACCTCCAGCCCCGTTTATTACCAAAATGCAAATAAACAACCTAGCTAACAATAAAAATAAGATAGAAATATGAGGTAATTTGCTTTCAGTAACATGTTTTACATGTGTTATAATAATCATATTATAATCAATTAAAAAATTACAAATTAACTTGTTTAAGAGAATAAACAATAAATGAATACATGACATTGTAAAATAATAATAAAATGTACAAATTAACTTTCTAACTGAACTAGGGATGCACCGATTTTGAAATTCTGGGCCAATACTTGGCTTTCGGCAAACAGCCGATATTGATGTGATGATTGATGGTGTTTCTTTTGTTTTTGTTGTTATTTATTCTTCTTTTCTTTTTCTTCATTTTGTTATATGGTATAATAGAAGTCAGTCATTCAGTAACACATTCTCAGCCCTAATGACTAAATACATATTTGGAGGTATGTTGCTGAGTTTATTTAATTATGAGCAATTGTCTATTGTAGATTGAGAATGAAGTCAGATGGGGAAAGACAGGGATATCACGTACTAACGTTGAGTGACAGACCTGTCAGTCTAGGTGTCATTCTCCTCTGCAAATTCTGATTTAACTATTTTACGCTATGTCTCTTGAAACTCTTGTGGTTTTATCTCTCATATCAGTGGTACCTTTGGCAACAGGAACACTCCCTTTTTTTCTGGTTACATGTTCTAAACACAGTTGCTGTAGACAAAAACTTGCTGAGACTGGTTGATATTCATTACAGACATGGACAGTGCAACAGGTACCAGAGCTCTGCAAAGACATTTTAGAAAATGCTAAGTTAACATTTAGTTGAATATTTGTTAAAAAATAAATCAGTATTTGCTAAACTGAAGGCAAATTACTTTCAAAAACAACCGGTTAGCCACCAAGAGTAGCCACTGTAACTAACCACAGACTAACACTTACTAGCTCACTGCCACATCTCACTGGAAGTTGCGCACATAATCATTGCTACAGTAGTGCCCTCAGGAAAAAGGTGGATACCCGGGCATATATCACATCTCTATCAAGGAAAATGATATTGGGAAAATTATCATTATCATTTTATCGCCCAGTTCTGTATGACATATCCATAAAATATGTCACTTAGTAGGGGGTTTTCAGTTTGCTCAATGATAGAGTCCCTTAAGGAAGAAGGTTGGGACCCACTGGTCTAAACACCAGAAGGTGTAAATCTATGTAATTAGGGGCCGGGCAGCCTAAGCTGCCTGGACCCTATTGTTATCCTGCATGTTCTTCTTCTTCTTCTCCTTCTTCTTCTTCTTCTTCTTCTTCTTCTTCTTCTTCTTCCGAGGAAATCCTACTTCCCATGCGCGAAAAATCACCAAACTTTGCACAAAGGTCCAGTCCCATGCCAGATTGCCTCAGCTGCAAAAACAGGCCAATAGTCCTGATGGTGGCGCTACAGCAAGCCTCTAAAGTTCAAAATTTTGAAAATTCACAACAAATCAACCATATGTGCTACTTTCACCAAAATGTAGCCCCAATACTGAAGAAACATTTGTACATTTAAACCTATTGCAAATTATGAAGTCCATCACTGTTTTTTTCAAAAACTATAAAATTTATGAAATCTATCTCCTCCCACAGTTTTTGCTCAATTGACACCAAACATTGCTACAGAGCATCTTCAGACTGTCCTACACAAATGATCCGCACAGATTTTTGATTTATCGAAAATTGAGCCTACAGTGCATCAAAATGTTTGACTGTAAACGGTATTGTAAACATATACTTGCAAATTCTTGCTAAATACATTTTCAATGTTCATTAAAAAAATGACAAAATTTTTGAGTCATGGTAGATGATGTTTGGAAAATATCAGAATTTTATCTCAAAAACTGAATTTTTTACAGCATTTTGAATTTCGCTCTCATGCAAACAATTGGAGTCAATGCAAAAATGGCTTTTTAAACATCAGTTTTTCACTTATGGAGCCAATAAATCATTGTTAAAAACAAATTACCAACATCTCCATACTGTCTAGATGCAATTTGCGTATTTTCAGATTTTTGTCTTAATAACTGAATTTTTGACAGCCGTTTGAAATCTGCCTTTACACACTAACAGTTGCTGTCTTGCACACAGGTGAGTGGCTTAGTCAATTTGTGAAGCTACATATGACATTTCTGTTTGCCAATTAGCTCAGTGAGATAGAGGATGGTTCTTGGTGTTGAAGATTGTGAGTTCAAGCCTCAGCTTGTGCAACATTTCCATATGAGAAATCTACCCAAACTTTTCATAAAGGTCCAGTCCCATGCCAGATGTCCTCAACTGGAAACACAAGACAATAGTCCTGATGGTGGCACTACAGCAAGCCTCTAAATTTCAAAACTTTGAAAATTCATAACAAATCAACCATATGTGCTACAGCTTTGGAACTTTCACTTTGAAATTTGCTTTTCCATGGCATTGATGGCTACTGTCTGGCACCCTGATGCTTGGCTTAGTCTTAGTGTGAAGCCACACATGAACTGTCACTTGCCAATTAGCTCAGTGAGATAGAAGATGGACCTCAGTCTCAACAGTTGTGAGTTCAAGCCTCAGCTAAGGCAGAACGGACATTCTAATGTGTAGTCCTATGTTCAGGCATCATGCTATGTGGATTAGAGACTACTAAGGTCAAAATAATTATGATCCAGGCAGTTTCGCGGAGAGACAAATACTCTTTATCAACACTTTTCCCTGTTATCCCTTGTCTCTTTTCCCTGTTTATTTGGCTTAGCTATCAGTCAATATGCAGAGTCTATCCAATAGCTACTTTTACATTTTAAAAAATGTTTTCATCTTTGTCACCATGGATAATGTTTAGCTTTAAGCTAGATCAGGCCAGTTTGTTCATAATTGCTAGCAGTTATTGTTATTCTTACTTTCTTGTTCTTGAGTTTTTTCTTTCCTTTGTATATTATGAGTCTGATCACTTCAGCCACTGATCCACAATTTGAAGGGCATGCCATAATTATATGATGTAACTTCTATGTTGTGATATGCTTTGTTTTAGTGTGTGTGTATTACATTTTTCACATGGGCTTTTACATATACCACACATTCAGTGTTTTATGATGAAACAGATTATGACTTCTTATCAGTATAATGAGCTAGATGAAGTTTTAAACATATATACCGCAGAGTTGTCTCTTGCTAATTAGCTCAGTGAGATAGAGCATAGTCTCTTATGCTTAGAATGCCACCTTTTTTTCATCTTCCTACACTCTGCTTGTTGAATTGCCTAATTTTGCCTAAAATTGCCCGGCCCCGACCTTTGATGCGCAGCAGCTATAATTTAATTCTTGCATTAGTGATATGGTCAGAATAGAGCAGGTATCAGGTTTTTTGTTTTTTTGACAAACATCTGATATAAAGATCTGAAGAAAACAAACTGTAGATGCTGTTGGTGTGTAACCTTTATGGTGTCAGAGGTGGACCATGCAAACCATGATAAAAGGCCCATAAATCAGCCTGTACAGGTCAAATCCTATTTGCTTGTATCTCTGCTGTACATTCATGCCCATGATAAGGCAATAAAGAAAGGAAGTCATCCTCACAGCAGCTGCTGTAGTGTTTACTGTGTTTAAAACCCGTAAGGTCAGGTCGCATCTTATTTCAACAAGTATGACACCAACATCATCATGCTGGAAGGCATGGCCACAAGCACTGAGTCTCCCTCTCCAGTAATTAGCCAGTTAAAATGGAGCATGGAGCCAATCAAGAGCATTAAGATCAGAGTAGAAGCTATAGCTACCAAATGCATTGTTAGACTCACAAGAGAGGGCTTTGGAAGGTAATTACTATGATGGTCTGCATCACGAGCAGATAAACAAATGTATGGTTTATCATTAGTCTTGATGAGCTACCCCTTCACTCCCATCCCCTCTCACCCTAATACAAGCCATTATCTTTTTTAACGGAGAGGGCCTTTGCCTTGACTGAAACACCTCAGCTCTGCTCTCTTTTGAGTGGGGAGAGGAAAAGCAAGATGATGGGCATCATTAAGATCAGCGGTGCGTGCTGCTATAGCGTCCGCATCCACCACCGTAATGTTTATTAAGACTGCATAGCCCTCGTCCCCAATACACACACACACAGCACTTTATTACCACGACAGAGCAAACACTGCATTAAACAGCATTAAGAGTAAATGGATATCTTATTAATCTGATTGTTGGGTGAAGAGGAGTTTGTTAATTCGGAGCATTGACTGCTTGACCTTTTTAGTGTTTTTTTATTTTAGAGAATGAGAGAACAGTGCAGGTCACCATGTTCTGATTATTTTCTCCTTCTTTTCTCTTCATCCCCCCGCCCTCCTTTTTCCACCCTGTCTTTCACAGCAATTTGGCAAGATTTTAGACGTGGAGATTATTTTTAACGAGCGAGGCTCCAAGGTAAGTGTACTTTAACCACACATTCATGTGCACTCTCTCACACACATATGATTCTCTAGCCGACTGTGTTTGTCCCCTGCCCTCCTCTGTCTTAACATCCTTGGCTCCTCTCACTGTCTTCATAGCTATCTTTCCTTCTGTCTAATAGTAATCAAGAACCCGAATCAGTGATACTTGCCTGCAGGCATCTTTTAACCTTACTGGCCTGCCACACATCGTGGCATATAATGAATCACTCCCACTTAACTTAATGCTGGCAGTAGGATTCACACAGGCTGAAAACACATGCTGTCTTTCCTACCTATAGTACCAAGAAGTAAGAATGAATTGTATGTGAACATACTCAGCCCACCTGGGATCCAGGATGGTTTGAAATCTTAGTACACACTGATGAGATGATACAGTAGCTGTGTCATTTTCCTGTGAATAAATGTTCATTTATATCACCAGATACAGTACTACACAGTGAGTAGAGTAATGAAAATTTATCATCAAGTCACAGTACAGTTACTCCCATAAAAATTTACTGGAGTAAAAGTAAAAAATGATCATTTGAGAAACCTTCTCATGTACAAGTAAAAAAAAAAGTACTTGGTTAATGAATTATTCAAAGTAGAAGTTATTTTCAGTTTCAGTTTTTTTTTTTTTTCAGGGTGTGTGGGTCAGTGCGAAATACTGAAAAAACACCACTGCTTTTCTTAATGAAATAGAGCAGGTTGGCTAATCAAACAAATAAAGCCTATACAACTGAGATTTGAACAATCCAAACCCATTCTCACTTCCAACTCAATCCATATCAACGTTTGGTCAAGGACTCCACATCGATACAGGACAGGCAAAGTACCTTGGGTGTGTTGGTTGCTGGTGTTCTTGGACCCCGTGTCAACTTCAGCCTGTTTACATGCATTGTCTGTTTTCTACATACAGTACAGGCCAAAAGTTTGGACACACCTTCTCATTCAATGCGTTTTCTTTACTTTCATAACTATTTACATTGTAGATTCTCACTGAAGGCATCAAAACTATGAATGAACACATGTGGAGTTATGTACTTAACAAAAAAAGGTGAAATAACTGAAAACATGTTTTATATTCTAGTTTCTTCAAAAGAGCCACCCTTTGCTCTGATTACTGCTTTGCACACTCTTGGCATTCTCTCGATGAGCTTCAAGAGGTAGTCACCTGAAATGGTTTTCCAACAGTCTTGAAGGAGTTCCCAGAGGTGTTTAGCACTTGTTGGCCCCTTTGCCTTCACTCTGCGGTCCAGCTCACCCCAAACCATCTCGACTGGGTTCAGGTCCGGTGACTGTGGAGGCCAGGTCATCTGCCGCAGCATTCCATCACTCTCCTTCTTGGTCAAATAGCCCTTACACAGCCTGGAGGTGTGTTTGGGGTCATTGTCCTGTTGAAAAATAAATGTCCAACTAAACGCAAACCGGATGGGATGGCATGTCGCTGCAGGATGCTGTGGTAGCCATGCTGGTTCAGTGTGCCTTCAATTTTGAATAAATCCCCAACAGTGTCACCAGCAAAACACCCCCACACCATCACACCTCCTCCTCCATGCTTCACAGTGGGAACCAGGCATGTGGAATCCATCCGTTCACCTTTTCTGCGTCTCACAAAGACACGGCGGTTGGAACCAAAGATCTCAAATTTGGACTCATCAGACCAAAGCACAGATTTCCACTGGTCTAATGTCCATTCCTTGTGTTTCTTGGCCCAAACAAATCTCTTCTGCTTGTTGCCTCTCCTTAGCAGTGGTTTCCTAGCAGCTATTTGACCATGAGGGCCTGATTCACGCAGTCTCCTCTTAACAGTTGTTCTAGAGGGTCTGCTGCTAGAACTCTGTGTGGCATTCATGTGGTCTCTGATCTGAGCTGCTGTTAACTTGCGATTTCTGAGGCTGGTGACTCGGATGAACTTATCCTCAGAAGCAGAGGTGATTCTTGGTCTTCCTTTCCTGGGTCGGTCATCATGTGTGCCAGTTTCGTTGTAGCGCTTGATGGTTTTTGCGACTCCACTTGGGGACACATTTAAAGTTTTTGCAATTTTCCGGACTGACTGACCTTCATTTCTTAAAGTAATGATGGCCACTCGTTTTTCTTTAGTTAGCTGATTGGTTCTTGCCATAATATGAATTTTAACAGTTGTCCAATAGGGCTGTCGGCTGTGTATTAACCTGACTTCTGCACAACACAACTGATGGTCCCAACCCCACTGATAAAGCAAGAAATTCCACTAATTAACCCTGATAAGGCACACCTGTGAAGTGGAAACCATTTCAGGTGACTACCTCTTGAAGCTCATGGAGAGAATGCCAAGAGTGTGCAAAGCAGTAATCAGAGCAAAGGGTGGCTATTTTGAAAAAACTAGAATATAAAACATGTTTTCAGTTATTTCACCTTTTTTTGTTAAGTACATAACTCCACATGTGTTCATTCATAGTTTTGATGCCTTCAGTGAGAATCTACAATGTAAATAGTCATGAAAATAAAGAAAACGTATTGAATGAGAAGGTGTGTCCAAACTTTTGGCCTGTACTGTACACTTCCATTTTCACTGGAATTGTACAATTTGCATACAGTCTCTTTCAAAATAAACGCATTACGTTGGCACAAGACCACAAATTGACGTTTTTTTTCTTTCTACAACATGCACATAGTTGGGTTTAGGAAAAAAGAACACTAGGCCTCCCGGGTGAAAGTCATGGTTGTTGGACACAATCCACCACCCCTCCCATTCGCCCTACTCAGACTTCCACCCCCATAACTTATGTCGTTGTCCCACTGTGTTTCCCCCTGTCATTGCTGGGCGCCGTTAATCCACGGCTGATGTATTATGGCGACGTGAAAGGACTGACGCACACAGGCACCTTTTGCAGTCGTATGTTAGGCACCAGGCTGCAGCAGTTGTTGAGACAGTGGGAAACAACCAAATTCATCGAATACCACTGCTTTGTCATTTGACGTCCACGTCAGATACCAACACACAAAGGCACTTTTTGCACATTGTGAAACGCACCGGCCAGCTCAGTTTGTCACACTGCCGGCAACTATCTTGGTAGTAAGATTGAGAAAGTACATATCTATCATGCCCCTGAGAAAAGGGGAATAGGAATCACGACAGAGAAAGTGATGTTTCCTCAGCTAGAACCTCACTCTAATTAGGAAAGTACCACTAGTTCCCCTGGCATGTGGGCGGAGACAGGAGCAATTGATCTCAGGATCTTCGATTTAGACCATCTTGTGGAGCACACAAAAAACACTTGATCTCAAATTAACAAATTAAGAATAAAGTAAACAACGTAATATAAACAACCTCTTAGCATTTTAACTATTCCATCTAATTTAATGATTTTAGTCAATCCTTATGAACTGTTTCTCATAAATGTATGTTTAAACCTTATTCCAGACTTTAACATTACAATCATTAGCTTCCTGAGCTTTTTAGCAAATGGGCTAAAGGTATTATTTTTTTTACCTCTTCACATGTAGTCTGTGGGCGGGATTGGTTGTGGATGAGTCTAACAAGCTCCAGACTTTCACCTGGGAGCCTGCTGTTCTTTTCACGTGTGAAACCAAAAGTCAATGCAGTTATTGTAGTAACAAAGTAGTGTGCTAGTATGTGTATCATGCCATAGTAGCAAGATGACCTAATAATATGTTACAAACCGTACTCATTTTTTTTTCCTTAACCTATCCACGTGCTTTTGTTCCCTAAGGAAATCCACCTAAAAATGTTTTATGTACATTGCAAGTTTATTTTGAAAAAGACTATATTCTGTAATGAGCAGGAACTGTACATTTCCTGTGAAAATGGAGGTGTATTTTGAAAAGACACGATGCATGTAACAAGTGTAAATTGATGCACCATCCCAGAATCTCCAGAACTGATGCATGATGGTATCTACTTGCCATATTCTTACTTTTTGGTCCACTGACAAAGCGGCAATATTTGACGAGTTGGAAAGAGAACATGTTGAACAATTTCCCACTCTCCTTCCAACTTTTCCTCTCTATCCTTCTCTTCATTATGACATCAAAGATCAGCATTACACATGAAAAACTATGGCTAGCTAGCTACCTTTGCACCAACAGCACGTGCAACTTACTTCAATGTGCTTGCAGTGTTTGAAAGAGGATTATTTAAAAGCAAAGATCTCTGTGTTTTTAGGAAGTACAGCAGCACTTCACCATGTAATTACTGTCTAGATTGTGGTATAAAACGTGTGGCCAGATCTGGTCAGGGCTTGTAGCTGGAAGCTGCCTCTTGTTCTGCTCGGGGTCAATAGACAGGTGGTGCTTCTTTTTCTTATAGGCAGCTGGAAACTTGAATCTACTGTCTGCAGTAGAGGAGCTCCTCATGTGGTTTCCCCCCTACAAACAATACACACAGTCCCCATATATAGAGGTAAATGTAGTGAAGTCAAAAGTAGATTATTAGCTCAAAAATATACTCGAGTAAAGAGTGGAAGTACAGTTCTAAAAAACAGAAACTGAGCACACATTCCTTAAAAAACAACTTTTTTACTGATGTAAGTTACTTGTAATGCATTTCTACCCACACCAGTGATACACCTTCAAGCCATTTCATGGAGCCAATTGCACCAGCTGTTTGTCAGTTCAAACTTAATCTATTTGTTAAGTATGTGTTATTATGCGGAGATTTATGCATCACTATATTAAAAGGATTTGCACCACAAAAACTACTTCTTAGACGTTTGTTGTCACTCAGTACCTTCATCTACTCTCTGTGTAGCTAACAAAACTCATTGTTCATGGTTGATTTACTGACTGACTGACTTTATTCATACAGGAGAGCAAGCTGTCTCTGCAGGTCTGCACTGTTAAGAGGGACAGACAAATAATGATGATGATAATAATAATATTAATAATAATAATAATAACTTTATTCATGTAGCACTTTTTAAAACAGAGTGTACAAGGTGCTCTGAGAGACAAAGCAAAGCAGAAGCAAGATATCTCAGAGGCAATTTT